AGATTCAGCCTGCGTTGTATGATGTGTTCTTTTCTCCCCGATCCGTCCCCGCTTGCTGGGCGAACCATTCATGTGACCATTGGTTTCTTGGTCCGGGCTTGTCCACTTACACACACTCTACCCAATGCCGCTATCCCTACGGTCTCCAAAAGCCTCGTCTGTCTCCGCTTGCTGGGCGAACATTTCACGACGCTGGGGCCATTTGTAGTTCTGCATTCTTGAGGTCTCCAAAAGCCTCGTCTTTCCTAATTTTATGGGCATCGCCGAATAGGGGCACACCGTGGAAATGTGTCCATGGTGTGCGCCTATTTGATGACGAGGCATTTGACTAGCTTGAGAATGCCACGCAGTTGCCTTGAAAATGTCCCTTGCTTTACTGTTTCATATGCTTGGTGGGGGGGAAAGGGCTACACGACTAGCCGGGATACGACAAGTAACTTAACGATCATCGCCAAGACAAACTGCGATGCAATGCTGGCTGGGGCTCTGAGATGCCGTTTGCGCTCTAGTGGGTCAAGTGGTTGGCGTACAGCCACAGAGACATTTCACTGGTTGCACGTTCTGAATGGCATGCAGAGACTGCTTCCAACTGATTTGATTAGGCTTGCTGACAAGCACTTGCTCCGCGCCGCCGTCGTTGCGAACTAGATGATTTCCCTTTTTTCTCTGCGCTTCTTACACGGACCGACCAATCAGACAGAGTTCACCTTGGCGCAACCGCACACAGGCACATAAACATATATGCGTGCATTATCAAATGCATACAGAACGTAGTGCAAAGCGCAGCGGATGAGAAGGGCATGTGGAGCAGCGAATTGATCATGCAAGGCTGGCACTGAGGCTGGCGATCGCTCAAGCAAGAACGAAGACGAAAACAAACACCGTGTGATGCTTGTGCAGCAAGGAGAGTTTCCAAAACGAGCGACACCTTTCTCCTTTCCTATGGTTTCTAACACCACAGCAGTTTGGAATCCACCTGTTGCTCTTGCTGTTGCTACTGCTGCTGCTGCTTGTGCTGCTGCTGCTTGTACTGCTGCTGCGCCTTCAGGCGTTGCGGACTTTTACTTCGTCCGTCCCCCCGGGCACCGTGGCGAGGAGACCCCGGAGGCGCAGGTTCTGGCTGAAGCGCAGACTGCGTGCAGCAGAGCAGCAGCAGCAGCAGCAGCAGCAGCAGTGACGGGTGCCCTTACATCCCGCATCCGTTCTTCTTAAAGGGACAGGCTCCATTCCCATACAAAATTGAGGCCCCTGCGCCCCCGGCACTTGCTGCAGAGGCCCTCGCAGCTGGCTTGGCGCAGCAGCAGCAGCTGCTGCAGCAGCAGGACAAGCGCCAGCGCGTACAGCAGCAACAGCAAAAGCAGCAAAAACAGCAAGAGCAACAGCAGCAGCAAGACCAACAGCACCACGACCGCGCGCTCGTGGGGAAGCAACAGGAGCAGCAGCAGCAGGAGGAGAAGCAGCAGAAACAACTACAGCAGCACCCCGTCACACATTTGGCTGGAGGTCTGAGGCACGGCGGCAGCAGCACAGACAAAGCGCCATACGTCAAGGCGAAGTAGCACCTACTGTACGGCTCTTGCATTTCTTACTGATTTACGGCTAGCGGAAGTGCCCAAATCTTGTTGAGAGCTCAGTATGCGTGTGACTTTAGATATGCAGCAGTTTTCGCTGGCGGGCTCTACTGCACTTTTGGTGCAGTTCTTTCCTAAACTTTAAAGCGTCACGACAATATGAGCGTGGTTCCCGAAGTCTGCTGATTGTATTAATTTCGTTTGCAAACCTGTTTATTTCATTTATTTTATATTCACGTCTCTGTTCGTTGCTACAATATGCAAATGTGATTAGTTGCTTTGTATCATATTTAGATATGTATCGTTTCTGCACTTCAATATGTTTATTTCATGTCCACATCTTTCCAATTGTAAAACATGCAAATGTTATTAGTTCCTCAATATCATAGTTCAATATGCTTTATTTCTCCTACTTGAATATCTTTATTTCATGTCCGCATCTGTTTCTTTCATTTACCTTATATCTAAGTCTGCGTATTTTTTTTCTCACATTCAGTATGCTTCTCTCATTTACTTCGCGTTCGCTTCATGGATTTCATATCCAACTCAATGTAGTCTGCGCTCACATCCGCATATGTTGTTCGCATCTGTGAAAAGGATGGACTGAACGGGAGTGAATATTAAATAGCAAAAGTATATATATAGGCGTGAAATAAGTGGGTAAAACAAGGCTCAGCCCAACACCAGCATATACCATTTATTTTCCATTTAAATGTTTAGCTCACTTATTTTATATGTAAATACTTGAGTTACTTCACGTTCGAACTAGTTTACTTCACGTATTTCTCCTCCTCTTCTGCCTAGTCTGATATTTCATATTCGGTCTATTTCGTCCCCTTCGTATTTGTATCTGCTTATTCCATTTATTCCCTGACATTATGTATTTCGTATCTACTTTATTTCTTTACTTTGTACTCAAATATGCTTACTTCAGTTACTCCACGTTTGAATACGTTTACTTTTTCCGCATTCACGCCTATTTATTTCAACCACTTCCTGGTCACGTCTGCTTATTTCGCTTCTTTGGGATGCGAATAAGCATCTTTAGTTTAGCTGCGCAGCAAAAGCAACGAAGGGAGGGAATCAGGAACTAGTGCTCCATATTTCACATATTCGACGCTCAAATTTCTTTATCTCATCCGCTTCGCCCTCATATCTAGAGTTAATGCTCATGTCTAGTTATGTGGTCAATTTGATATCCAAATCTTTTTATTTCCTATATTTCATACACAACACCGCACAGAAGCAGCCTGCACCATGTGCAAAACTCCACCTCTGGTCAGCAAGCTTCCTTCTGCTGTCGCGCAAGAACAGCAGAGAGGCGGTTGCCTCATCAGCCTGCAGCTTGAATCTCGTTGAGCCGTGGACCGCTCCCTGTATTGAGCTCTCGTGGCCAAACTCCTTAAGGCTTCAGTTTTAGCCACGCGTGTTTTGTTCGGAAGTGACTGTTTTCCATCAGCAGAAAATTGTTTCCGTATGCAACTCAGCAGTAGACCAAAGACGGATGCGTAGTATCCGCAAGCACGTGTAGGTGATGTTTCCCCGTATGCGAGTAGACTTAGCAGCACTAGCTCAGAAAAGCATGCGTAGTATCCGCATGCTAGTGCAGGTAGCGGGCGTTGTATCCCCATGCTATTGTAGGTGATGTTTCTCCGTAGGCGAGCAGACACAGCTACAGCGCGCAACAACAGCTACGGCAGCTGGTTGTGTCTTTGACGCATCCTTTGGAATAGTTCGGGCTACCCAGCAGCAAGTTGCTTCTCTCCCGTAGGCGCCGTGCATGTGCATGTATCTGCGCGCAAATGAGGACTTGCAGAATACACTGGGGAAGCACAGGCGCAGCCTGTCGGTCTCTCCCCACATGCTGCCCCGGTGAGAGCAACGACGCTGCAGTGCGCTATTCCCAAAGACAAATGCAGCGGCCTTCGTCGTTCAGTCAGTCGCAGTATCTCCTTCTGACGCCTCCACCCCCTAGGCAGCGGCCACAGCACTAGAAAACGATTGGCAGCCAACTGGAGGCGCAGATAGTCGGAAACATGGTGGGCAGCTTGGGTGCCCTTGCTGAGAGTCAGGCTGTCCCATAGCCGAACTAGTGACCAATCGCCCTTCCCACGCACTTTGTTCCTTCCTTTTTCTAGGCCCCTTCGCTGCTATAATTTGGGCTTCAGACAAGGCCATTGGTCTCTACCGAGCACATTCACTGCGCTGCGCGAAATCTCCTCTGCACGCTACAACTAGTTAAACGTGCTCTCACTAGTGTTGGATAGTGTGCGCGTACTAACTAGTTGAAAACTGCGTGATCGATGCACCTTAATTGAAAGAGCTTCCTAATCGTGACCATTGGTTCCAAGAGGTCTGTCGGATGCGCGAGGAGCAGGCAGTTCAGCAGATATCTGTGTACAATGTAGGCTAAATTGCCAAATAAACAAACTTCAACTGCCCGTCGAGCACATGGAGACAGGCCTTCCTGCGGACTAGCGCGTGCTGCGTTGTCTCGAGCTCTGTCATGGGCGGTCGCATGGCACTTCCTTGAAAGAGTGAATTATTAGTTTCGTTGCACTAAGCAACTATATGAATTCAGTTCAAAAATCTTTAATTACGCGTGCACGTACGCAAATGATGGAAGGGAAACGCGGAGGGACGCAAACAACGAGGACAGGCGAAGGCCACGCTCGGCTGACAAGTGACCCAGGCCGCAGGAGGGCCACCTGTTGGCTGGCTGGTTCGATAGCGCAGTCAATCATTTCTATGAGCCTGTACTTCTCTAAAAAGCTTGTATTATGTATTAGAACGAAATTACACCTGTTTCGACATACTTGATTCGCTGACATTGTGGCTACGCCTGCTCTCTGTTTGTCTTGGCGAGCACCGCCATTCATTCCAAGGGCCTCTCTCGAAGCGTCAACACTCACTGCAGGTCA